TTTCTTTCTGAACAACTTATTTGGAATGAAAATACATAAGAAAACATCAGAATTTCCATTGGGATGAAAATTCATTCTCTCCGTCATCTCTATAAATAATGCATCTGCTGCAGACAAAGGTATAATCACATGCCGTTTATCATAAAAACTATTGTACATAGTCAGGAGCTGCACTAAAGTAGATTTTACAAAGTAAACGTAAAAAAAAGTAGGCTTGCCTGTGGATCTGAGTTTGGAACTGAGTCTAGTGACTAATTTGAAAAGAAAAAAAGCACAAGTTCCAAGACATTTCTGTCTTCAGACTCTGCCGTGCTACTGGGACACCAAATTCTGGCATGGTCAAAGTCCCCCCTGTATCTTCAGCTACCTCCATCTACCTTGCTCTTAGATCCACCCTATCTACCCCAATCCCACTCACAAACCTCTCCTGAAATATTACTTCATAATCTTTTAATTCTAAAGTAATACCTTGGGAAGAAAGAGAAGACATTTCTGGCATATTCAGAGAACATAAGTCTTTGACTTCATTTGGAAATCTCAAGCTCAGGAAATATGAGTGGGTTGGTAGCTTATTCAATCCTGTTGTCACATCCCAACTCCAGAAGATTGATAGTTTTATCCCTATAAGACAGGAGCTAACAATATAACACTGCAAGCAACAACTGACATTCTATCTTTGAAGATCTTGATTGAGAGACTCAATGAAAGAAAAGAGTGGTCAGTAGTTGTTTAGAACTGAACCATAGGGAAAGGCTGGTTACTACAGAGCAGTCATTTATCTCATTGTAATTTATATGCTATGAAGCTTTTCAGCTTTTCATCTCTTTTAGCTGTCTCCTTTTAACATGTCAAATACCACGCATGCTTGTCAGCAGAGCAAAATCAGAAAAGAAAAAGATACATCCAACTTACTAATTCAGTTTACTTTATAGGAATATTTATGCATTCTATAAAATACTTGAGTGCTGTGTTAGTAATTCCAGTCTGTATGTAATGTAATAATAATATAAATTGGATGATGGTTTTAGCAGATTCTGAGAGATCTGAATTTGTTTTATTCTTAAGCATTTATTAGGCACAGAAGTAGTTACTTAGGCAATGAGTAGCCCACTCATTCTTTAGTGAAAACATATTTAAAAAAACAATACATGTTCTGCTTCCCTATCTCCCATTTAATTCTCTTTTATTAGATCCTCCAAGTACTGTAGTTCTGTCTGACTTTAAATCAAAACTCTTTTCAAGTCTTCTTTAAGGGCCTGAGTTAAGAAAAACAAAGGAAAAGACTCCCACCAACTCCAGCTGGCTTGAGATCAGGCTCTAAATGAGCAGTAATGTCCTGTTTCTCTTCACAATTTAATTCACCTCAATGTATGAACAGAAAGCTATAAAATGCTCATCCTGCTTCTGAGTCTCAGATAGTATCAAGTGATAAAATCATCTCCCAGGACAAAGACAGGTTGGAAAAATGTGTTCTGTAAAGATAAAGCATAAATCCCCAAAGAGGCCCACAGCAAAGGAAAACAAACATAAAATGCATTAGTGAGACCTCTACTACAGCCACCATTACCCCCACAAAAATGTATCCATGTATGACTTCAGAGATGTGTGCAGACAAAAACTTCCCTTTAGAGTTCCCTGAACAGTTTGCTAGTGGACTGTGTTGCTTGTTTAAAATGATTTAGCAGTTATAAATGTCCTGTTTATAATCTTTTCAGTTATAAATGTCCTGTTTATAATCTTTCTGTCCCATCCATGCCCAGCTTTAGTAAAGGTCTCTTTAGCAGGAGGGAAGCACCAGCCCCTCGCCACCCCCCGCAACCCTTGCAGCCCAGTGACCACTCTGCCCACTGGCAGCTCACCCTTCCCTCCCCACTGCCGGAGAGGCAGGTAAGTCGGGTATGTGTACAACATGGGGGTTTAATTGGCCCTAAGTTGAAGTGGTGTTTTAAAAAACCCACTGGTTCAATTTAGGGCCCCCGTTCCATCTACACACACCCTTAAGTGCTAACAGCAGTGAATAAGAAATGTTCTCAGTTCTCTATATCCCAAAAAAATGAATCTGTGATGTGCCCATATAAATTTCCAAACATGCTCCATTTTTTGACAAGGGTCATCATCTTTTTATTTGCTTGCAGGCTTCATTTGAATATATTATGGGTGTAAATAGGAGTCCTTGCTACCTGATTTGCACCTGCAGTAATATCTACATTTAGTATCTACATCATGAAACTTATGGTGGTCTTCCACAATAATAAATAGAGATGTGTTGGAGAACATTGTGTCTCCCTGTAATCATGGAAGTGATTGCAGTATTGATTATACCCAAAGCTTAATACCACATTAAAGTGCAAATATCACTGTTAAACATGTATTTCTGCACAGAGTTGTCCATCCTACTCTGAATCCGAGCTTCGATTCCAGCACTAGAAAGTACTGGTTAGACATTTAACTGGAATGGTCAAGGCAGGGATGATCCTGCCATAAGCAGAGAGGTGGACTAGGTGATCACCTGAGATCCCTTCTAGCTTTATTTTTCTATCATTCTGCGATTGTATCCATAACACAGATCTGCCCCTTTTCAGGTTGCTTCTGCAGGGGAAATGTTAGGGTTATAAAACTACTGTTTTGCCTCTTTCATCACCTGCAATCCCAAAACAGTAGTTTTGTCCAAGGAGAAGGGAATATATTTGTCATCCAGGAATCTTAGCCTAGCAACTGAAACATTCTTAGGGGCTAAGAACAGGCAGCACAAAGTAGAGCAGAAACACAACACTTCTTTATTTTACCCTGGGACTGTGAAACTAAATGCCAACTTTGTCTCTTCAGTGTAGTCCCAGAACTTGGTTCCTCTGTTTATCACCATATATTTATTAAATAACATGAGAAATATATCCCAAGCATGCTTAGCAACAGTGTATTTAACATGTGTGTGAGGAAATACCAGATACAAAAAGCCTTAACAGTTTCATTTGTTTTTAAAGTCAACCTGGTAGGGCTGTGTGTAATTTTAACTAATATGTGCAATATATGTAGTAGCAAAAACTGGAAATCTGTGTGTGAATGGCCATTTGTGGGGACAGTTCCAGAGGAGGTGTAGTGGCATGGTCACACCCCCACTACTTTTCCCATTTTTGCTCAGTGGCACATCCCTTCTCCTCCCATTGCTCCCCTTCCCCACCCACTACTGCCTATGACTGACCTGAAGGTGGGGGGAGCTCCAGAACCGCATCTGCCTTATTTCAGCTGGGTTGTTCAGGGATCTAGGGCTCAACGAGGGACAGCAGCAGCAGCAGTAGCAGTGGTAGTGGGTATGGGAGGTACCTTTTCCCTGAGACCGGTTTTGGGCTGCCAGGGAACACCAGGAGGAACCACTGCCACTGCTTCTGCCACTGCCCAAGCCTGGCTGCCTGCACAGCCTGAGTCGGGAGGGAACAGTGGCAGTGGCAGGCAGGAGAAAGGAGTAAGTGTGGAGGTGCCAAGAAAAGTGGGGTTGGCATTCTTACCTGATTTGGGGCATGGTCTGCCTACACCAGTGGGCAGGAGAGAAGCTGAGAGCAAGGGGTCAGTTACCCCTGCAGTGTCAGTGACTGCTTCCATACCCCTCTGTACATGAATCTGTCTATAATCATTTTCAAAACTTGTTCCAGTATCATATGGAAGTTTCCTGCACACAAATTGGTGAGAGTTTCTAGGATTTTGATATAAATTCACAGAAAATAAATGCAAGACTTATAGTAATGAAATGTAGCAAAGAACATGGAATTTGCATTTATTCATAGGAAGGCTGAGTGGGTTAAGTCACTAACATCAGTCACAGAACTGTAAGGTATAGAGCACACATGTAAATATCTAAACACATCAGGACCACTACAGTATATTTTTTAAATCAGGTGAAACTGCATAGGTTCATGAAGATTTCTTTGAACTGTAGATGTTACTTAGTTGTGCTTTAGAGCTGGTAAACTGTTCTTCTACATGTGTATTTATATTCCTTCCTAAATTGGCAGTGTATAATATTTATGGGCCTGATTCTGCAAATCTTTACTCATATGAGTGATGTCATTGCCATCTGAAAGACATCTAAATTAGTAAGGCTATAACCTAATTCTACTGCGTAGGGCTGTCTATAATCTACTTCTATAATCTATTTATTTAGAGTACTTTAAATAGTCCAAATTAATCTTACTTATAATCTAAAAATCCAGGCTAATGTTAGGATGTCTAACTGAAGTGAGAATAAAAGTGTTACTCCTGATTTACACAAGTAAAAGGGGAGAAGAATTTGGCTTAAACAAAAACATTCAGAAATAATAGCTTAGGGGCAGATCTACAGAACATTTCATTAGATAAAATGTTTCTCAAAGTGACAAAATGCTGTTGGATTTTGTGAGAAGCTGCAGAACCATTGGTACATCTTATAGATCAATGACTCTGTAATGAATTACCTGGAGGCTTATGCAATTCCATCAAGATTTCCACTTTATAATTCCTTTAGACTGAGAATTTAACCGAATGCTTCAGCTTGACAAATGTCTGTAAGTTTAGATTGTTTTAAACATAGCTTTTTCTTCTGCTTTTACATCAACCATCTATAGTATTTAGCTTCTAGCAATAAAAGGGGACTATATTTATGCCAATTTTTCATTCTGTGCTTAAGGATTGATATAATTATTTTTATAAGTTACCTCAATAGGCTTTTGTGGTATGTTACTGTTAATTTTTCCATAGCATTTTGTAGCTTAATTAATTAATAATATAGCAAATGTTAGACCCCTAGAATTTGAACATGGGAAAGGGCTGATTCTACTGCTGAAGATGACCTCTTCTTTATTATTATTTTTCTTAATGTCAAAGTTGCATTTTTCAGAAAATAGAAGTGTATAATGGTAATGCATATCCATGTTTTTATACTGTGGCACATGCACATAGTTTTTTCAATAATATTTTATCAGTGAAAAAAGAAAATGTCTCTCACTGTTGATCTTGTTACTTTGTTCCAGCCATTAAAGATTGCTTCAATGGTTCTTTGTTGTGTGCATCAACTAACAGATGTATTCCGCGCTCTCAGCGTTGTGATGGTATCTCAGACTGCATTGATTTCAATCTTGATGAATCCAGCTGTTCAGGTAGTCAGTTCATCTAATTATTATTTGCAACAGAAGTATATAGTTTTTGTAGTGGAGGAGGATTAAAGCTGCAGACAAAGCACAAATTGAACTGAATTTACCCTGATGAAATTTAGCCTGACTACAAAAGGGTTGGGATGAATGTGGCTTATTAAGATTCACTTATGAAGACGAAAGAAGAAAAATATTTTATCTGATTGGACTGGGAGTATTTCTTGATATATTGCTTGAAAATAAAAGTTTCTTCCTTCAAACTTTTAGGCATGTACTGAGTATAACAATGTGAAAAATTGCGTTTAAATTAATCAAACATTTTGAAGCCAGAGGGTTTGGGTTTTTTAAAGTAAAGCACAATGCATGGGCAGATTGAAGACAGAATATTTGCTTTAGCACAATAAGACTCAGTATTTATTTTTAATACAGTTGAAAAACAATGTATAAATGTAAAAAAAGAAAAAGTGATGTGCCCAACAGAAAATCAGTTACTTCACTACAAAAGTTATTTGAAAACAAGATTGATCTGTCTGTGTGTGTGTGTGTGTGTGCGCGCGCGCGCACGCGTGTGTGTGCGTGTGTGTACAGTCCATTCTGTAACACAGCAATCTTCTTTCCATTGAAAACCACTACAAATGTCTGGGCTAAAATCTCAGATAACATTGACTTCAGGGGAGTTATGCTACCATAGCTAACACTTTTCCCATATAAAACAAGTTTTACTAACCTAACCTAACCTAACCTCAGAAGATAGGCACAAGACAAAATTCTATGCTTAGGAACACAGAACAGAATTGAACCAACTCATAGTTGTTGTATAAAACTAATACATATGAAAAGCAATTATATTTTCCCATGAAAGAGACTAGCTAAACATAAAAGGATGTCAGGTGACAAAAGTAATGCAGTAAATTCTTGTAGTAATAAATAAGTGGGTCTCAGGTAGCCTATCGTTTTAAGTAATTTGAGTAATTTGCTTCCTACATTATCTCCTTGAAAATGTGGGTATCTGCATGGAATAAATTGTTGCTTTTATTTTTATGCTTTCAGGAAACAGTCCATTTAATTTATTTACCTTAGTACCTGTTGCAACAGATGTAAAATGCTTTCCCTTACAGTTCCTAAATATACATACAGCTCATTCCTGCTGCCACTGCCTTTCACACTGGTGGACCTCTGGCTATGTAGGGTTAACACGCATCCAGGTTTTCCCAGACATGTCCTCTTTTTTGACCCCCTGTGCTGCATCCGGGAGGGTTTTTAAAATAAGAATGTATGTCCAGGTTTTCTGGTCTCCCGGGCTGCCTGGGTTCACCAGCTACCTGTGCAGGCTCCAGCAAGCTCCCAGGTGAGAGACAGAGAGAGAGCCTGCGTGCTGTGGGTCAGAAGTGAGGGGCACCAGCAGGGAGTGGGGGGGCAGGGGACCGCTGTTTGGGAGTGAGGGGCACTTGCAGGGCTGGGGTCAATGGCTTCAGAGTGAGGGGCAGCAGCAGGGGGTGGCTTGCCAGTGAGGGGCAACACAATGGGCAGGGCACTGGTGTATCATTGCCCCCCCACCATCATATTCCCCCTGCCCCCCACCTTCCCTCTCC